GGTGGCAAGTACCTTTATCCGCTAAGCCATCTCACCGACCCCAGACACATATTTTTCCAAACACACTAGTTTATGCAGTGGTTCTCCAGGTGTGTAGCTCACATTGTGACCAGATACTTCATATTACAGATGTTCACACCACTGTATGATTTTGTTTGTGTGGTTTCATTTATTTCTGTTCATTTGCTGTTGTAAATAGCGCTTTTGCAAACGCCCTTCATACGTGTAGGAAGTGCTTTGGCAAGTTAGGGGAGAATTCCTAATATTGCAACAATTGTTTCCACAGGCCTGCATCTTTTCAGTTCTGATATATGCAGAATACCCTCCAGGAAGACAGTAGTGGTGTGTGAGTTCCTTCTCCACAAATCCAGACAGTTTTACTGAACTTCAAATGTTTTGACTTGGTATTTATGTATATTTAAAATCATGTACTAGTTTTTCCTCTTACATGATTTTTCATGTGATTTTCTATCACCAATTGCAAGATGCTTTGTTCTTTAAAGAGTGGTAATCAGGGCGAGGTCGTCCTCTGCTTCCTTGTCTAAACGTGTGGACGTGGGCCAGCAGTATGGCTTAGTAGGTAAAGTCACTGCCACCAAATCTGACTTGGAGGGCACCCACACTGTGGGAGGAAAGAACAGACTCTCCATGGTTGTCCTCCGGATCGTGTGTGACCTCTGTGGCACACGTGAGCATGCAACATACACAAAATAAGATGCAACAAACGGGGCTGCAGAGATGGCTCAGCGCAAGAGCAACGGGGGCTGCAGAGATGGCTCAGCGTAAGAGCACTGGCTGCTCTTCCAGAGGTCCTGGGTTCAGTTCCCAGCAACCACAGGGCAGCTCACAATCCGATGCCCTCCTCTGGTCTGCAGGTATACATGCAGGCAAGCACCTGTATACATTAAAAAAAAAAATCTTTAAAAAAATGTAATAAATGATTAAACTGGACCTGATGGACATGCACGAACAAAGTCCAGAGGTTCAGGGCAGTTCCCTGATTACAGCCATCCCAAAGAGTGTAATATAAGGGCTTGGAGTGACACAGGAGTACTAGTGACAGCAGTTTGGGGTGCAGTCCACCGTGGCGGGGGAGGGGGGTGTATGGCAGCAGGAGCTTGAAGCAGTTGTTTCGTGACATCTGCTGGCAGGAAGCTGAGAAAGATGAATGCTGGTGCTCGGCTCACTTCCTCCTTTCTGCTCACTTCAGGACCCCAGCCCGTGGCAGGGTGACACTCACAATTGGTGTGGATCTTAGTTAATCTAGGTGATCTGTCACAGGCGTGCCTAGAGGCTGGTCTCTTCGCTGGATGATTCCAGGTCCTGTGGTAATATCAGCCATCACAACAGGTGCCTCAGCGTGCGGCCAGGCTCGCAGTCCAGGATTACTTGAAATTTTATCCAGTTATTGTGTGTGTCTGTGTGAGTTTGCACATGCATGCATAACGTGTGGGTGTGGTCAGTGGACGACTTGGCGGAGTTGGTTCTCTCCTACCTGTTCAGGTATTGAACTCATCAGCAGGTTTGCAGAGCAAGCTCTTTGTTGCTGAGCCAACCGTCTTGCTTGCCCATAGCCGGCCCGCCCACAGCCGGCCCGCCCACAGCCGGCCCGCCCACAGCCGGCCCAGTAGTATTTCTAAGGGTGGAATCTGGGACGTGCGTAGCACTCTGACCTTAAGTAGAAGGGAACACATGCCACGTCAACCAACGTGGAATTTCTTAATTCATCTCTAGTAAACAGAGGTCATCTATCAAAAGCCGGGCTAATATCTCGTCAGTGTTTATGCCCAGCTGCATGTGGTTGAAGCCCGTCTTGATACCGGTGCAAAGTCAGGCAGCCTTGCTGTTGATTGGAAATTCCTGCGTGACTTACAGATAGAGCCCACAGGGTCTGGGAGCCTTTTGTAAGCGGATTCCCGCAAGCCTCTTGGCTCCTGCTCTCACTCATTCAGCTCCTACTTTGAGAGAGTGTCTCTTAGTCCCTTGAACTTGCCGGGCACTTCCAGATCTGGCCCTTCACACACTCATTTTTCTGCTCTCTCTGCTGACACTGATGACGCTTACAGTAACTGAGTGGGCTAGGTATTCCCATGGCGCTGTGGCTGTGTTTCTATCTTTCCATTGCCAGTTAAAGATGTGTGCACTTATAGCCTGCCTTCCTTCCTTTTTTCTTTTCTTTCTTTCTTTCTTTCTTTTCTTCCTTTTTTCTGTTTTCTCTTTCCTTCCTTTCTCATTCCTTCCTTTCTTCTTCCTTTTTCTTTCCTCTTTTCTTTCTTTCCTTCCTTCTTTTTTCTTCCCTCCCCCTCCCTTCCCCCCTTCCTTTCTTCTTCCTTCCTTTTTCTTTCCTTCCTCTTTTCTTTCCTTCTTTTTTCTTCCCTCCCTCTCCCTTCCTCCCTTCCTTTCTAAGGTAGGGTGTTACATCTCTCAAGATGGCCTCACACTCAAACTTCCTATCCTCCAGCTCCTCTGCTGCTGGGACTGCAGGTGAATGCACAGCATGGGTTCATGCAGTGCTGGGAGTGGAATCCAGGGTCTGTGCGTGGTCAGCAGGTGCCCTGTCAGCTGACTGACATCTTTAGCCTCTGTATGCAGAGTATTTTTTAAATTGGTTTTTAAAAAGGTTATTTAAAAATATGTCTAGGTATGGGTGTGTTTCTGTGTGCTGGTATATGTGCCTATGGAGAGGGTTCTCTGGAGCTGTGTGTGTGTGTGTTATATGTATGTATGTATGTATGTATGTATTTAAATTTCATGTTTAGGAGGTAGTACCCTTCAGAAAGTCAAGGACTGCGAATGTGCCCTGTGGAGGCATGGCTCAGTGGTAGAGTGCTTCCAGAAGGTATGCAAGGCCCTCGGTTTTTCCCCCAGCACGAGAGGAAAACAAAACAAAACGCCTACCGAACAACACTAGGAAACCGAGATGCCCAGCAGCGGAGGATAGTTCATGTGTCCTGAACTCTCCTGGATGACTGAGAAGGGGTTCTTAGGTTTAGGGACCTTGCTTATTATTTTCTCTCTGTTTTGAGATGGAGTCTAAGAGCATAGCCCAGGTTGGCTCTGGCCAGATTGGCTTCTGATAGCCCAGGCTGGCTTCGGTCCGATCTGCTCCTGCCTCTTTTACATGGACTTCTGTGTCCATAGGCTTCATGACCAGTCACGTATCCTCAGCACTAATCTGAGTGTTACCTGTGGGGCACGTTGACACATCTCAGGTGTCTGGGATAGGCAATCGGTAAACAGCCACAATAATCACAGGGCAAGGCTTTTACCAGGTATGCCTTAGCTATATGTATGACATCTCAGTTTTTAAAAACTTGCTTTGGGTGTGCACATGTGCGTGCGCATGCCATGATGCACATGTAGAGGCCAGAGGGCAGCTTGCAGGAGTGGGGTTGTCTTTCATCAGGTGGGCTCCAGGGTTCGAAGCCCTGTTATCAGGTTTGGCAACAAGCACCTTTTACCCACTCAGCCATCTTGCCAGCCCAGAGGGCAGCTTGCAGGAGTGGGGTTGTCTTTCATCAGGTGGGCTCCAGGGTTCGAAGCCCTGTTATCAGGTTTGGCAACAAGCACCTTTTACCCACTCAGCCATCTTGCCAGCCCATAAACCTTTTAAAACCCAGGGGAGTTTACTACACACTGGAAAGTAGGACACTGGCTCTTTGCCCCATCCTTATGTTTCTTATATACCTGGATTGTTGATTTTGGTTTTTCTGAGGCAGGGTTTCTCTGTGTAACCTGTTAAACCTTGGCTGTCCTGGAACTCAGAGATCTGCCCTCCTCTGCCTCCTGAATGCTGGGATTAAAAACGTGCACCACCGTGCCAGGCTCCTAAAACATAAACACTATGGTCAACTTGGCGGCTGTTATTATGGCTTCATGGAGGAGATAATTAGTAACTTTGTAATTTTACACTTGTCACAGTGAGACCGACAGGTTATAGATGTTCTTCATTACTCATTCTCTTTTAGGATCCAAGAATGCTCCTCAGGTCCTCATTCAAAAGAGCAGTGTTGGCAGGAGCTGGGGCTGGGGCAGGGGCAGGTGCTGAGGCAGGAGCTGAGGCAGGAGCTGGGGCAGGAGATGGAGCTGGGACAGGAGCTGGGGCAGGAGCTGGGGCAGGAGCAGGGGCTGGGACAGGGGCTGGGGCAGGAGCTGGGACAGGAGCTGAGGCAGGGGCTGGGGCAGGAGCAGGGGCTGGGACAGGGGCTGGGGCAGGGGCTGGGACAGGGGCTGGGGCAGGGGCTGGGACAGGGGCTGGGGCAGGCTTAGTGCTCTAGTGCTGACCTAGTGCATTAGGAGGCTGAACTTAGTCCCCAGCCCTGAAGGATTGAAAACCGCTTGTGACCTCAGCTTGGCTAAGCAGCCCAGCTTTCAGCTCATTAGGAAAATACAAAACAGGGCTGGGTGTGACAACACAGGCCTATAATCTCAGCACTCTGGGAGGTCGTGGGGCAGAGGCAGAAGGATCTCTGTGAGTTCGAGGCCAATCCAGTTTACGTGGTGAGTTCCAGAAAAACACCAAAATGGAAAAACCAAAAACAAACAACAACAAAAAACAGAAACAATAATAACAGGAAAGGCAAAATCCCATTTCAACATGCAAGGCTTGCAGGGCTAAGGCGACAGGGGGAGACTACTGGAAGTTCCCTCTTCACTACACAGTTCCTTTAGTCAAAGGAGACCGGAAGGGATGAAGTCTGCGCTACAGTAGGACAGTGTCCAGGGAGAGTGCTCCCATGCCTCCTCCTCTGCTTGCTCTTCTTTGTGGGGTCCAGTCCTCTTGCCTGTGATCCCATGTGGCTTGTACTCCTATGGCTAGGGACCCAGGGAGGATGTCAAACACCGTACCTCCATCTCGGTCCAGAAGAAACTGAAATTTCGGCTTCCCCTCAGCATCCTTCTGGAAGCCCTGGAGCACCGTTCCAGGACTCAGCCCTTGAGTCATCCCCAGAGGCACCTAGAATGGAAATCCTGCTACAAGAACACAGCCAGGCAATGTGACGAACACTTTTATTTACAAATATAAGTAAAAGCCCTGACAGTTAACCATGCTCTCCCTTGGAACCTGAAAAATGTTTAAGTGGTTTTGTTTTTTTTTTAAGGTGCATGCAAAAGGAGTAAAGCCTTTTTTTCTTCATCATTTTTTATTGTAAGAAAATACACAGTTTGAAAGGATGGATAATGCAATATTTATGACCAAAGATAGGGGGCGCGGGGAGGGGAAGGAGAAATAAACGGAGATGATCCGACTGAAAAGACATTGAACTCCAGAGACGGAACTGGAAACCGCGGGGAGGTGGGCGTGGGTGGGGGAGGAACAGGAGGAGGAAGTAAAAAAATTTTGATCAGAGAAACAGTTAAAATACAATATGAAAATAAGCAATTCCTCTCCTTAGATTCCCTCTATACACAAAATACATGATTTGCCAAAGCCCAATTTTGTGCTACTGGGATTCTGTGAGTTCCGGACATGTATTCGCACCGTCTGCAACAGCAGAGGATGCCGGGATACAGTAGACCAGGCTGACGGCAAGGCAAACGCTCGCCGGCAGGTTCTTAAAAATCACAAGCTCTCTTCACCCCGCCCACCCACCCCGGCCCCAAAATAGTAATAATATGTTACCACTTCATATGTACATCACAATTAGTTCCTGTAAAATGTATCAAATTTTCAATCTTTAATAAAACTTTGTTTTTTTTAATTCCTGATGAATAAATACCAAAAAAATAAAATAAAATAAAATTATGCAGCAGCTGGTTAAGGTGTAAGGCTGCGGATTTTGTGTCTCTCTCCCCCTTGGCATGTAGTATTTATTTAGTTTTCTTTAGTTTTTCTTTTTTTGCTTTACTTTCACTGGTTGGTGACAATGAGAGATTGCTTAGAGCAATATACATCTGTGTTCCATCGCCGTTTGTTGATTGACCCTAAAGCCACTTTCAAGGTTTTCACCAGAACCTCTGTGGGCCACACCGGTACTGGGTGTGGGGGGTGGACAGTAGGGGCGGCCGGGCCGGCCAGCACTGACAGTTGATATGGGGGAGGAAAGGGCCCCTGATGGAGTAAGAGTAAACAGGCACTAGTCCGACACGATGTCAGGAAGAGAGAGAGAAAGAGAGAGAGGGAGAGAGAGAGAGAGAGTGTGAAGTGAGAGCAACGCCCGTTAAAATGGGGAATGTAGTTTTGTAAGGTCTGAATTTTTTTGTTTTCTTTTTTTCATTTTTTTTTTGTAAATGGCAAAAAAATTTAATCTCATCTATAGTCCTCCTTAGGAAAATCTAATGTCACCAAATTCCCAAATCCCATTCTGAGGCTCTCCATGTCAAAAGTCTCCGTCTCTCGCTCTTGTCTTTCCAGGAGAATCTTGATCCTCTCACTGCGTTCCTTCTGCAGGGCGGCCAGCTCCTCTTCAATCTGCACCCAGCACAGAAGAGGGGCTCAATGCCAACACTCGCTCCATAGCCACGAGGGACCCCCACCAGGTGCACACACACACACACACACACACACACACACACACACACGGAACAGCCTAGACCTGAGAGCCAGGAGCCCAGTGTCTCACACTTGCTAGGGCTGGGAGTTGGGGTACGGATGGGTGTGGATGGGTGGGGCTGGGGATAGAGGTGGTGCTGCTATCTGAGCCTGGGCATCCTCCCTGTGACTTTGTAGTGGCCGGACAGGGCCTCCTGCATCCTAGGAATTTGATTGTGGAACAGTGGCCAGGAGAGCAGGCTACAGTGTTGCTGGGGGGACAGAGAAAGCAGGGGTAACAGGTTGAGCAGAGAGAGGTCACCAGCTTGAGATGCTGTGTCCCCATGCTCTCACAGCAAGCTCCTTCCTGCTGAGTCATCTCCTCAGACCCTGAGATGCTTTGCATGCATGTGCACATGTGCATCCATGTACATGTTCTGTGGAAGCCAGGAGACAACGTCTGGTGTCACTCCTCTCAGCCCCAGGCTTGAGATGCTTCATGACACAGTCTCCGTGTGACTCTCCCTATAACACTGTCTACAGCACGCCGTAATTCAAGGGGGTAACATTTACTATATGTGGCAATAGCAACCTATCTTTGTTTCCCCTCTTTTTTAAAAAATTACTTTTACTTAATTATTTATGTCTATGTGAGTCTGTGTTTAAGTATTTTTTGTTTGTTTGTTTGAGACAGGGTTTCTCTGTAGCTTTGGAGTCTGTCCTGGAACTAGCTCTTGTAGACCAGGTTGGCCTCGAACTCACAGAGATCTGCCTGCCTCTGCCTCCCAAGTGCTGGGATTAAGGGCGTGAGCCACCACTGACCGGCTTGTGTTAGGTATATACATATGAATGTAGTATCTGTGGAGGCCAGAAGAGGGTGTTAAATACTCTGAAGCTGGAGTCACAGAACGTTGTGAGCTGCCATGTGGGTTCTGGGACCTGAACCCTGGTCCTTTGGAAGAGCAGCAAGTGCTCTTCTGAGCCATCTCTCCAGCACCTCACTTTATTTCTTAAAGAATCCTGTGGGTAATTCCTTTTACTGAAAAAAATTCCAATCTTATGTGATTTTTTTAGGCCCCTGGGCAGCCGTGTTAGCATCCCATAGTTCTTAAGTAAGTGATGTCACCTAGCTGGTTAAGATGGCGGGCTTCCTAAGCAGAACCTCAGATGGTTGGATAACCTTCCCAAGCCATCATGTCCCAGGCCTGGAGGTAATATCTGCCTCTCTTGGGTACCAGGGGTAAACTGACAGTCTGATCCCGGGTCACTAGGAGGGATCCACACAAAACTGTGACCCTTCCCCACTGCAGCCCCACCCGTGGTTCCCCAGAAACTCCCTACCTTCTGCTCAAGATGCGCTCTGCGCAGAGACACCCTCTGCTCTAACTTCTGCAGCTCCCGCTCGTGCTGGGCCTCCGTCTGCATCTTGATTTTGCTCTGGTAGGCATTGAGCAGCTCCATCTCCTGCTGGAGCTGTAGTCTCAGGGCCTGGCACTCTGCCTCTTGCGCCTCATCTAGCCGTAACTATGGATACAGAAGACACACACTGAATATGTCTATATGCACACAGCAGTCCGCGCGCACCACTCGGGACAATTGAAAAGGGTTTCCTTGCTCTGACTTAGGTGGAAGGACAGAAACTCGATGGATACTGCAATTTGGAGCACAGCCAGTGGAGTCTACCCGGGTGGCCACAGGATCCTAAGGACACCCTTTCTTCAGTGCAGGCCCCAGAGCCCAGGAAGGCTGCCTACTCTAGAGGCTAAGTCTGTGCACTCTGGAGGTAAACTGCTGACCCTGAAGCCTGGCTCTTTCACTCCAGGGTGGCATTTTGTCAATAATTATTCAGCCTCCTTTGGTCTCATTTCTTTTTCTTTTTTTCAAGGAAACGATAATTCCCATTAAGATTGGCATAAACTTCAAATGAAAGAATTCATATAGGATCCCAATCCTAAGACCCCACAATACTACAATGTCCGATAAACAGCAACTATTACAATTTTTTGGTTTTGACAAGACTGTGTTCATATTTAAACACCTTTAACTATAAAATCATGACCCATTTAGTGCTATAGAAGTGAATTCAACAATAATTCATACAGCGCGAAGACCATGCCATTGTAGCTGTTATAGCAAACAAACCATGCTGGCCAGGCTGTGGCTACACATGGCATCTTTGTCACTGCCAACCCAGAACCCCATGGGTTCAAAAATCTCACTCCTTGAGAGCAGCTCATAATCTCTGGAGATGGATTTTGCTTCACAGCAATGAGATGTAGACTCTGCATCCTGGCCCAGTTCCCTCTGCTCCCAGCTGTGTGCCTCAACTTTACTGTTTGTACCCAGACAGCTAGATCTTATGTACAGATGGGCCAAGTCCACCTGCTTCTAGAAGAACAAGGGCCTGAGGCCAAACGGCTCCTGTGTCAGACTATGAGCATGGCACAGGCCAGTCCTCTGTCCTAGGCCTGGGTATGTCCCCACCCCTGAGTCTCTCCGCCCCTCTCCATACAGGCGATTTCCCCAGCAGCATCTCCACCTGATCTGTGCCTGTGACAACTGACAGTGTACCCCTATCTGCAGCAGGAAGTGACTTTAGAAATGTTCAAACTACTTGCGGACTGCCATCCTTAGTCCTTCTGTGGGAAACACGCCATGGAGTTAAGGGAAAGTGTGCTTTCTGAGTCACACCCTAAGCAGTCAATGTTAAACTCTGCTAGCGAGGACGGGCCGCTTTCTTCCCATTTCCACTGGGGACATAGGCAGGGCTGTGCACACACATCGTCAGCCCACAGTCAGAATAGTTTACAGGTGGTGTTGAAATGTCCCGTGGCTCCCCGTGAGGACTGCTATGGATGTTCTCCTGATCTGAGAGGTTCCTGGCCATAAAAGAAAATGACAGCCCACTCATCTCCTATGTTCACACATTAGCTGCCATGAGCCCCGAATGAGCGGCCGAGACTTCAGACCGCCAGTGGGCAGTTTAGACCCTTGAAGTGTCTCCCTCTGACACAGGGTCTCACGCAGACCACACTGGAGCCGGAACCTGCCACGCAGCCAAGGATGACCTTGAATGTCTGATCCTCCTGCCTCTACCTCCCAAGGGCTAGTGTGCACTGCCACGCAGGGATTACAGGTGTGCCCTGTCACGCAGGGATTACAGGTGTGCACTGCCATGCAGAGATTACATGTGTGCACTGCCACGCAGAGATTACAGGTGTGTACCGCCATGCAGGGATTACAGGTGTGCACCGCCATGCAGGGATTACAGGTGTGTGCACCGCCATGCAGGGATTACAGGTGTGTGCACCGCCATGCAGGGATTACAGGTGTGTGCACCGCCATGCAGGGATTACAGGTGTGTGCACCGCCATGAAGGGATTACAGGTGTGTACTGCCATGCAGAGATTACAGGTGTGCACCGCCATGCAGAGATTACAGGTGTGTGAACCGCCATGCAGGGATTACAGGTGTGTGCACCGCCATGCAGGGATTACAGGTGTGCACTGCCATGCAGGGATTACAGGTGTGCACCGCCATGCAGGGATTACAGGTGTGTACTGCCATGCAGGGATTACAGGTGTGTACTGCCATGCAGGGATTACATGCATGCACTGCCATGCAGGGATTACAGGTGTGTACTGCCATGCAGAGATTACATGCATGCACTACCATGCAGAGATTACAGGTGTGCACTGCCATGCAGAGATAACAGGTGTGCACTGCCATGCAGGGATTACAGGTGTGCACCACCATGCAGGGATTACAGGTGTGCACTACCACGAAGGGATTAAGGTGTATACTGACATGCTGGGATTATGGGTGCATACCACCATGTTGGAATTTTAGCAGTGCTGGTAACAAAACCCAAGACTTTCTGGATGCTAGACCAGCCCTCTACCTCCTGAGCTACAGCCCCAGCCTACAGTTTCTTTTGTCTCTGGCATTTAGCTATCCTCAAACCATGTCTTGTGCCAGCTCTGACCATCCAAGTCCAAGTGCTAGAAACCACAGGAGTTGCAGATGTTGGAGTTTATCACCTGCAATCACACATGCAAATGCACTCTGAGGTTTATAATAATGTGGTGAATATCACGCTTGCTTCCTATAGTGGCTCACAGAGAAGAGGAGGCAAGGGAGTGTGCAGTGTAACTTAGTGGTGAACTAGTGTACAACCTGCACCCAAGCTGTGGCCCCTCCCTGCAACGCTGGAGACTGGAAGGCTACAGCCCCTAGGCTGTGGCTCTTTATAAATAAACCTTTACTAGGGCGTGCAAGCTCTCTCTCTCTCATACACACGCACACATGCACGCACATGTACACACGTCATTTCTGCCTGGGTCTGCAGAGGTGAGCTGGCTACTGGGACGGACACCTCATGGTCCACGCAGCTTCTCACATTTATGACTTGTCCCTTTACAGAAAAATTTACAAGGCCAGCTCTTGTCCTAAGCAGCAGCTAATGTGAATGGCTCCCTTCAGCGAGCCTCTGGTTCGCCCAGGTAAAGGAGGGATTAGCCTTACTTGTGGCCCAAGGCCAGGTGGGGTGGACAGCTGTGGCGGCCATACTCAGAGTCCCCTCCTCCCTGTTCCAAGAGAGAGGACACTGCTCTGCCTTAGCCCACTTTCCTTCCTCCATGCCTACCGACTCACACAACATGTTCACTAGCCCTTGCTGCAGAGCCAGGCCGTGCTGCAGGTGCTGTGTGTGACAAGAGCTAACGGGCAAGAGCCGGGCTCGGCTGTGGCTGGGTAGCTAGAGTGATTATGGGGCGGCCTGAAGCCCTGGTTCCATCTCCAGTCCTGAATGAACAGGCTGTGGCCATGAATGTCTGTAACCCCAGTCCGTGGGACCTGGGGAGGCAGGAGGATTCAAAGTCAACCCTGGTCACATAGTGAGGTTGAGGCTAGCCTGGGCTGCAAGAGACCCTGCCTCAAAACAAAACAAACAAAAACCAGGACAGGCTTCCTACCTGGTACTTTCCCCACTGCCTTTCTTTCTCCTTGACTCTCTCCTTTGGAGCATCGTCCCCCACTTACACCCCTCATGCTTGGTTTCTGATCATCTTTGTGAGATCCCTATGTGACCTCACCTCCCAGCAAGCCGTGCGGCCTTTCTTGCAATTCCTTACTCTAGCCTGGCCATTGTCCCTGAATTCTATGTTTTTCTCCCCGCTCTGCCTTCCCAGCTCGACCCTGACAAGCAGGACCTCAGGAAATGTGGGTGTTCCAGAGCCTTAGCCCACGCCCCCTCTAACTGCTCCTCCCAAGGGCTCCTGTCTACTCCAAGTCTCTCTTGGGCACATGCTGGCACACCAGACTTCCCTGGGGAGGTAAGTTCTCCAGTTTTCTCTCTCTGTTTATCTGCTGGACAGATTGGCCTGGGCGGTTTCCCAGAGCCCGAGTTTCATGTGACCACTACAAACTCTCCCTTCCTGCTTCCCTTCCTCAACCTGCCCCACTGTCTTTTTAACAAACTGCCACTGTCACCTACCATAAAGCTCAACCCAGAGACTTAAATCCTTTTTAAATCCTTACTCAGCATCTTGGTCCTGCCACCAAGTACACTCCCTGAACCTCTAACCTGCCTCTCAAACATGGCCCCGTCTCCCCTCACCCCAGTATTACATCTCCAGTGTAGCCATCAATCCCTGTGGCCAAGCAAGAGCAAAAGCACCACAGTGGTCTCCCATCGCTCTTGCCATCTCTCAGGGCATTCTCTACGTGTCTCTGAGGGATGGCTCCCAAACAGCAATAAAAGGCCACCAGATCCCTACGCTTTAGTGACACTGTGCTGAGGTCTGTAGGCCCGACTATGACCTGGCCCCTGTGCAACCCTCCTGTCTTATTCTCAGGCACGATCCCCAGCTCTCCACACTCCAGCAGAACTGAGGTCTCTGAATTCTTCAGATGGGCTATGGTTCTCCCACTCCTGCCGCCTCCAGACCAGGCTAGCTTCTGGTTCCACTGCTGCCTCCTTGCTTCTCTGCCCGACTCCACGTCTGGCAGCCCCCTTTTGATTCTGCTTCCTCCGCTGCCCCTGGAGAACTGGTCAGGGAATGAGGGTCATCCCCTCCAGGGATGCCTGGAGCATGCTGCGGACATCACAATCACTCGTCGGACGGACGGACAGACGAGTGAATGAGGTGTGAAGAGCGTGGCAGCACCAGCTAAGAACATGCCCGAGCCTCTTCCTACTGCTGGGAGCCTCATTGTCCCCTCGGCTTGCTGCACGTCTATCTGCCTCTACTGACGAGGATGGGAGAGGATTTCTTTTTATGGGCACTCTTTATTTTTGAGACAGGGTCTCATGTAGCCCAGGCTGGCCTCGAACTTGCTATGTGGTTGAGGATGGCTTTGAACTTCTGATCCTCCTGCTCCATCTCCCAGGTGCCAGGATCCTAGGTAGGTGATACCATGCTGGTTTATGCACTGTGGAGGATCAGACCCAGGGCCTCACACGTGCTAGGCAAGCACTCTGCCCACCAAGCTGCAGCCACATCCCTTTGAAGTGGAAGGACACCTCCAAGTCTCACTGTTGTGCCTCATGGCTAAAGCCGCTATCCAAAGCGGGGAGGTCGCTGAGGTTTGCTGCTCTCATGGCTCCTGCACATTTGAACCCAATGGTGGGAAGCTTTGCTCTGCCATCTGTGACTTGCTCTCTCCCGGACTCTCCTGATCTTTGGATTCTCATCCTCTTTGATCTATGTCTACCCTTCACACAGCCTTCAAACACGGATGGCTACCAGATCCTGTCCCCAGCCTGCTTCTCAAACTACCCTGCACATGGCCCTGGTAGATTTACTAACTCCTGACTGTTATAGCTGCCCCCACAAGGCAAAGGCATGGGACCCTTTGTCTTTAATCCTGGCATCCCTTCAGACCTGCAGATTTTAGGGTCTGCATCTCTCCACATGGATACAGGGCTCAGGGCCACCTTACTCAATCACTGTGCCCGGCATCCGAGAGTGCACCCTCTTTCCTCAACTCTCCCAGTCTCCTGGGAACTCCCCTTTGAAACTCAATTCTCTCTGCTGCCCCCCCAAGTGTTCCCCAAACCCTGCCCAGCCTTCACCACATCCATGTGCCTGCTCTCCACAACCCTCTTGTACTGTGTGGACCCCAGGACTCACAGCAACTGCACACTGGTCACCCGAGGCCTCTCGTAGAGCGACAGCTCACCTCCTGCCTTGAGGTTCTGACCCTTACCTCTATCCCCATGTGTGACTCTCCAGCTGTGGCAGGTGGTCAGGCTGGCCATTCATTCTCAGGCCTGTGGAGCTTCTGAATCTTTGCAGAGTGCAACCTCAGGTAGAACTAATGTTTCTGTTTAGTAAACCAGTGGCCATCAGTGCTGGTCATGGTGGGATGATGTCATTCAATTCCCTGACAGACCCATTTCCTAATCTACCAACATCCTTGGGATCCTGGGATCCAGTGGAGAACCAGGAGATCCAGTGGAGAACCAGGAGAGACTAGCCTGGGAATAAGACAGGAGGGGTACATGGGGGCCCCTCCCCTCCCTATTTCTTTCTTCCCTCTTCTCTTCCTCTTTCCTTTTACCCCTTCCTCCCTTCTTCTTTCCCTACCCTCCTCCTTCCCTTCTTTTCAGGGCTGGGGGCCCTGTTGCAAGTGGCCTCCTGATGAACTACATCCCCTGCCTTTGTTTTGCCAGACTGGGTCTTGCTGGTAGACCAGGCTGTCCCACTCCTGCTGCCTTAGTCTTCCGGATGCTGGCATCACAGGTGTGCACCACGGCTCCCAACCCAGTCCTCCTTCTTGAACCCCACCCAGGCTTGCCCTCTAGCTCTGAGCCCCAGGTGCACACTCTCCTTGTCTGGACTTGGCCTATACAGAACCATGTATTTCGACAGCTTCCTTTTTCTTCCCTAGGGATCTCTAGGCCAGCTTCCCTGTTCCTCCTTGTCCTTCCAAGTCCCTGGGTACCCTGATAACTAAGTACTCAGTGTGCTTGGCTATTACCACTCAGTGATCTGACTTCCCAGCCTTCCTGACACAGCATGAGACCCATCTAGCTGGTTCCCCTGTCTCTGGGCTCAGTGCAGCGTGCCTGCAGAGGCCTGGCCAGAGTTTGTTTAGCAAATATGTCTGTGTGTGTGTGTGTGTCTCCCCTCACTTGACTGTGGGCACTGAGGCAGCAGGGCCATGCCTGACATTGGTTGGGGTGGTGACTGGTAAACTTCTGGTGAAGAAGCGTATACACGTGCGCGGCATCCATCCCATCTCGCCCTCCCTGTGTGCCCCCCGGCTGGACTGCCACTGCTCCTTCAGCTCCATCTGAGAAGACGTATTCCAGCGAGTATCCGCATGGCCTTGGCTCTACTCGGCGTTGTCTTTTTCCTCCGTTCCTCGGGCAGGAAAAGAAGCCACCAATATATCCTAAACCAATATATCCCAGAAGGTGCTTGGGAATGAAAGCCGGATCTTGCATTTTCTTGAAATCCCGAAAGCTCTTGACGCTGTGGCAACAACCCTCCCCACTTACCGCCTGCGAGGCCATCATCTCATTAATGCTCTGTTCATACTGCTCTGCCAAGATGGCCAGTTTTCTCGTCTGCTCATCTTTCAGCGTCTTTAGGATTGTTTTGTGCTCATTCTTTGGAGTGACTTCCAACTGGTGGTTCTTGAGTGCTTTGTACTGCTTGGTCTGTACCTTGCAAGTGTCCTGAAACTGCTTCTTAATCTGCATTTCCATGGCCTGCCCGGGAACACGCAATAGAGAGAAAGAGAAACAGGTCAGTCCACATGCTTGGACACATGACACAGACCACGCATGGACGCCCCATGACAGCCATCAGTCCAGAGACCGACAGGACAACGCATGATGTGAGGGAACACTACCAGCCCTCGTCCCCTTTTCTTTTCTTTTTTCTTTCTTTCTTTCTTTCTTTTTTTTTTAACAGGACATGGATGGAAATGATTCTGATTTGAAGAATGGCTCTAGGGAAACAGATTATAACGGGGAACTAGATTCACAGTAGACTGTGGAGTATGATGAGACTTGTTAGCGGGTTGGCAGTTATTTCCCCAGTCTCTTCCTGGTCTGCAGCGCCTCCTATTGTTTGCTGTGTTTTCCTTCCTCAAGGTGAGTGCGTACACCTCCATGTGTGCACAATATCCCTTCATTTCCAGGTGAGAAAGGGGACGAGGCTCTACAGTCAGCTCCCATTGCCCTGGCTCAGAACGTCTTCTGCACACCCGAACAGTGCCTCATACCCTAACCCATCCCTACGTGACTTCAGCAGAAGCTGAAGGAGAAGAGTGGCCCTGGAGCTCTGACTCCATTAGAGGGTGCTTTCAGGGGTGGATGCCAAATGTGTACTCTGGGGAGCAGGAAGAGGAGCATGCGCAGGCCACTCTGCAGTCATAGGTCACTTGGACTTCTGGTGGCAGGGGTCGTGGGTGTGGCTAGGGTTTGCCTCGAAGGGACATGTGCCAATGTGACCAAGGGCAGCTCGCATCCTGGCTTTGTAGCCTTTATCTGTGCAGCAACCTTGTTACCATTACGGCTTCATCACCGACTGGGGCTAGGACCATGGACAGTTCTCTATCCACTTTCCCTAGGAGCACCTGTGTTCATGGAGGTCAGAGGACAACCGTCCCATCCATATTCTTTTTATCTATCTATCTATCTATCTATCTATCTATCTATCTATCTATCTATCTTTTTTTTTTTTTTTTGGTTTTTTGAGACAGGGTTTCTCTGTGGTTTCGGAGCCTGTCCTGGAACTAGCTCTGTAGACCAAGCTGGTCTCGAACTCACAGAGATCTGCCTGCCTCTGCCTCCCGAGTGCTGGGATTAAAGGTGTGCGCCACCACCGCCCGGCTTCTATCTATCTATCTTTGAGATGGTGTCTGGTAAAAAAAAGCCTGGGACTAAGCAGGCTAGGTGAGTGGCCAACCAGCACCAGGAAGCTTCCCAGAAAGGCTGGGGTCACACACATTGTTTTTTGTTGATTTTTTTTTCTCCTCTTCCTTTTTTTTTTGGTGTCACAGGGTCTTACTGTATAGCTCTGACCAGCCTGGAACTCACTATGAAGCTCAGGCTGGTCTTAAGTGCCCCTGTCTACCTCTCTGTGTGCACTACTATGCCCAGCCCAACCTTTTATTCTTTTTTTTTTTAAAATTTATTTATTATGTATACAATATTCTATCTGTGTGTATGCCTGCAGGCCAAAAGAAGGCACCAGACCCCATTACAGATGGTTGTGAGCCACCATGTGGTTGCTGGGAATTGAACTCAGGACCTTTGGAAGAGCAGGCAATGCTCTTGACCTCTGAGCCATCTCTTCAGCTCCCAACCTTTTATTCTTTAAAAACATAGGTTCATGGGCAGTGCTTCTCAACCTTCCTAACGCTGCCACTCTTTAACACGGTTCCTCATGGTGTGGTGACCCCAACCATAAAATTATTTTTGCTACTGTTATGAATTGTACTGTAAATATCCATGCTTTCTGATGGTCTTAGGCGACCCCTGGGAAAGGGACATTTGACCTTCATGGGGGTCATGATCCACAGGTTGAGAACCACTGTTCTAGGGGACAGAACTCAGGTCTTTGTACTTGCAAAGCAAACTCTTCATTGACAGGACCATTTTCTGAGCTGTCCTTGTTCACTTTACAGTTTTTAGTTTTATTTTATATGTTAGGAGTATTTTATCTGAATGTGTCTGTGTACTACATGGGTATCTAGTGGCCTTGGAGGCCAGAAGAGGTCTTGATTCCCTGGAACTAGAGTTGCAGATGGTTGTGAGCTGCTGTGTGGGCACTGGGAATCAAACCCAGGTCCTCTAGAAGAGCAGCCAGTGCTCTTAACCACTGAGCCATCTCTCCAGCCCCTTCTCACTGCCTTTCAAAGGTGGTGGGTGACCAATGGCTCAGGTAAGCGACATCCTGAACTACAGGGAGGACCAAGACCCCAAATGGCACTCTGCTGGGACCCTTAAGGATTCGCTAGGAAGCTGGAGCAGCACACTCCTACTGGCTTTTGCTCCCCCCCCCCCCCTCCGCTTCATAGGCTGAGAGGTGTCTTTAGACTTAGGGCTGCATCCTTGTGGAGTCAAGCAGTCAGAAGTTTTGTGGACAGGCTGCAAGTAGAGCAGCCCAGTGTTCTGGAGGCCAGCACTCCTTGGAGCAAGGACCCTGCAGCTTAGAGGGTTCCAAAGCAGCTTCCCAGCTTGCAGAAGGAGCCCTGGACACCACGCTTAGAGATTCTGATTCTGGGGTGTGACACAGACGGGCCCACCTGTGTGAGAATGCATGGTGGGTTTGGAGTGTGCTGATGTCCTCTTACCTTTAAGTTTTTCGGCTGTTGCCGAAGCTCCATGACATGCTTCCGGTGCAGCTCCCGCTCCCGCCTCTTATTGTACTCCAGCTGGTTCTCCAGCTCCGTCTGGTGCTGTAGCCGGATCAGATCCATGCGGAGCTTCTGCAGTGTGTGCAGCTGTCTGTACTCCAGCTCTCGGGTGGACTCGTCGTGCCGGATCAGCATGGCGTGCTCCATTTCCTTCTGCGTCCGCTTCTTATTTAGTTCCTGCATCCAGGAGCAGAAGATGAACGGAGAGAGATGAGTGGAGGGGACAGGGAGGGACACAAACATGGTGAGGGACGGCTCTTAATTAAGTCCATGAGTGTTTGTAGCATGACTTACTGAGATCAGAGGGGCAGTCCCTAGAGCTCTGCGTCCTGTGGTGAGGCCAGCTCACAAATGGAAACTTGCCAGCTTCAGAAAGCACTGTCTGCAAAATGGGACTAATTCCCCTGGTTGCTCCTGTCTCACAGAGGTGTGGGTCTTCGATTGTGTGAGGCTTTGGTGTGGTCAAGCTAGGGGTTCCCATGCTGGCTACTCATTGGAATCATAAGGAAACACACCCTCAAATTCTGACAATTGTTTGGGACCACCCCTCTACCCCCCATTTCATTTCCTTTATAAAGCTTTCTCCAGGTGACTCTTGTTATGCGACCAGTGTCAAGATCTCCAGGGAACTCTGCTGTGCGGACAGTGTTGAGAACTAAACTGGGAATGTCTGCATTGCCCTCAACTTCTGGGGAAATACCCTATTTTCGCACATAACAGAAGTAGGCCAAATTATCTAATTTTTAAAAGCGGCATTTAGACATGCTGGGAGGAACCGGAGGACACCCCTTCCCTCTTGTCCTTCCCACAGCAGGCAGGCCGACCATTTCCAGAGCTAACACTTGGGGTTTTCAGTTCTATGCCTTCCTGCCTACCCTCTTATCCTCCCTTCCTTCTCCTGAGGCATTGGAGACTGAACCCAGAACCTTGCACATGGTAGGTAAATGCTCTTTCACTGAGCCACATCCTCAGACTGCTCCTTAGTTCTATCCACGTCCATCTGATTCCCTTTTCCTCCCTTCCTGGGATAGTGGGGAAGGACCCACTAGGGGAAAAAAAGATCAAGTAAAAAGTTTTTACCCACTAACTCGAGACGATTTTCATCTCTTACTCCGAACTGGGTTTTGAACCCAGATCCTTGCACATGCTAGGCTACCACTGAGCTACATCCCCAGCCCTTTGAGGCTAGCTCCTCAATGCACTAGTCAAGCCCTGGATTTATGCCAGTGTTCACTACTAAGTGGTGGCTGCTGCCCTCGACTTGGAGCCACACTAATAGTGACTCAGGTGCCGGTCTCACAGCTGACTGCATCCAAGGGAGATGGAAGGCCTAATTCAGGCCAGTCTATTTTCTCTCCTAGGAACGTGGGGCTGTGACTCAGGGCCAGTTGTCTCTGTGGTGGCTGCAGTGTTGGCACACATGCAACTATGGGATGCCATCTTCTGCGACACTTAGATAAAGCTAGACTTCAGAAGCGAGGGAAGAGGGCGACAGGGGGAGGGGGAGGGAAGGAGGGAGAGAAGGACGGGGGAGAGAGGGAGAGAGAATGGATGCAGCGAGTGTTTAGTGCCCAAGTGCTGGCTGCATTTCAGCCCATCTCTATGTCCAGCTGTAGTAACTGCTACTGAAGTCTGTTTGTTCATTTCATTTCTTTTTTTCTTTTTTAATTTGTGAGACAGAGTTTCACTAGGTAGCCTAGGCTGACCTAGAACTTGCCACTTAGACCAGACCGGCCTCAAACTCCCAGAGATCTGCCTGCTTCTGCTGCCTGAGTGCTGGGATTAAAGGCGTGGGTGGCTGTGGCAGCTGCTATTGCGTCTGACTGGTACTTTTCCTGGTATTTTGACAGTAGCTCGCCTGGTCTGAACTGAAGCCAACCCAAATAAATTCCAGGTAACAGGCAAGCAGGAGATTGTTAACCAGCGCCGAGAATCAGGTGCTGTACAGATTTCAAAGGGACAGTCAGGGCTGGGAAGTGGCGTTCCAGAAAGAATGCTTTATGAAGTTTTGGGGAAGAAAGCTTGCCGCTGGACTTGGCAGGGGAACAGCTGGGTGCCCAGCCTCTCTCAGGGCCAGGGAGGGTGAGATCTGAGGCATTTGTGTTGCCAGGGTGCCAGAAGCAGGTGTGGATAGGCTCTTGCAAGCACCCTGCACCCCCCCCCCACCCCCCGTAGCCCCGAGCACCAGAGCATCACCACAGAGCTCTCAGTGACTCAGCCAGCAAGCATCATTATACACGTGCTATGTGTCAGATACTGACATCCCACAACCCGTGGAACTGGAACAAGGGCATCCCTGGGGCTCGGTGTTTAATGCAGGAGTAGATACAGTGTAAACATGGTTTAAATGTTTCAATTCATGAAAGCAAACTCTGCCAGCTTCCACACTTTTCTTTCTACTGTTTTGTTTCTGCCTCTTTACAAGAACCACCGAACTCTTCTTCTGAAAAGAATTATTTTTATGTCTAAGAGTGCTCTGCCTACATTGTATGTAAAATGCACCACATGAGTGATGTAAGGGGCCAGAAGGAACTGGAGTTACAGATGGTTTGAGCCAACACGTGGATGCTGGGAATTGAACCCGGGTTCTCTGGTAGAGCAGTGTGTGCTCTTAACCACTGAGTGACACCTCCAGCCCTGACTAAGTGTCTTCTTTCAAAGACTAGTGAGAGGTACTCGGGTGGTACCACAGGAAAGTGGCTGCTCCCACATGTCAGACTGTCAGGTCAAGGAAAGCTCCATAAGAGGGTGAAGGTCCCTGTCCCTCAGTTACCTGAGTCACAGCGCTGAGCTTACAATTCCACATTAACTCCAGAAGCCCAAGTTGAGCTCAAGTTGCTCACAGACTGGAAATACAAGACACCAAGCAAGTACTTTCAGTGGTTTCACTTCTTGAGTAAATTGGCTCTGGGTACTAAGGGACACCTACACGGGACACTGCGGGTGCCGAGGGACACTTGCAAGTGGCGCTCTGGGTACTGAAAAACACCTGCACGGGGCACTTTGGGTACTGAAGGACACCTGCACGGGGCCTTGCGGGTGCCGAGTGACACCTGCATGGGGTGCGCTAGGTTGAGTTATTTACACTGAGCTACACAGTGGCTGCTGACCAATGCTAACAGTTTGGGAGTCATCCGAGCAAAGCTCAGGTGAGAGTTAGCCTTGGTCCTTTTGGTGATTCGCTGTCTGTGGCTTTGGCAAGCTTCCTACACAGGGAAGCCCCTTAACGCACACGTCGGTTTCTTCAGGCATAAACTCAGGGTCTTCCCACCCAGCACAAATAAGGCTTGTGAAGATGATATGACAGACCCTAAAAAACGTTTCAGAATGTAACCATGTCTCATTGTTTTTCTATACTTGAAATGAATAACTGGGCAGGCAGAGGCAGGCGGGTCTCTGTGAGTTCGAGGCCAGCCTGGTCTACAAGAGCAAGTTCCAGGACAGGAACCAAAAGCTATGGAGAAACCCTGTCTCGAAAATAAAAAAAAAATAAATAAATAAAAAAGAAAGAAAGAAAGAAAAAGAAAAAGAAAAAAACAAAGAAAGAAATGAATAACTGGCATAGAGTAGTTTAGATTTAGTTTTACAAATTATTTAGAAAATTTAACTATGATACCAAAAGCGATTTCTAGGCTGCTCCCTTTATCATAAATCCCATATCTGAGCTATTGAGGTGTAAGATGGTCAACTGCTTATAATAGTCCAAGCCACAGGAAGCCCTTTTGTGTCTGTCTTGTTCCATATCGATCTTACCCTGAGTCCAGGGCATGCCTACTTGACAGCATGCAATGTGCTTTCAGATTTTTCCTTTTTTGTGAGAGTCTTGCTATAATGCCCAGGCTGGTTTCCAACTCCTCCACCCAGTGATCCTCCTGCCTCAGCCTTCTAGGTAGTGAGGACTTCAGGTATGCAACACCATACCACTTCTCAATTTAATCCCAGCACGTGGGAGGCAGAGGCAAGCAGATCTCTGTGAGTTCAAGGCCAGCCTGGTCTACAAAGTGAGTTTCAGGATAGGCTTCAAAAGCTACACAGAGAGATCATTTACCCCCCCCCCCCCCAAAAAAAATCATCTCATACAGCTCACCCAACTCTAAGTGCACTTCTGTAAGGTGAAAACCTTGCAAAGATTTTTGTTTATTTATTTATTTTTGGCAGTATAGATGGTCTGGAACTCTCTATGTAGACCAGGCTGGGCTCAAACTCAGAGTTCTGCCTGCTTCTGCCTTATGAATGTTGGGACAAAGGCGTGGACCACCACCCTAAGGGCTCCTTATAAAGACTTTCCTATGTAACCGTGAGGCTCTGGGGAGCCAAAGGTCTAAGATCACAGACAACTTCTGTGAAGTTGAATAAAGGCTAGAATTCTGTTTTTCTGGTTTGCAACATTTTCTGTGAGAAAATATCCCAAGGAAGTGAATTTTCCTATACTCTACTTTTCCAGTATGGGTTAGAATGCTCTAGACACTAATGACATACTGTATGTTAGAGTCATGCATGTCTGTGGCATGTATAAAATCAACAAAATGAGCTGATGGCATTGGTGACCCCGCCCGCATGTGCCCACGAGGTTCACATGCCCTGGGGGAGGGGAGCCAGAGACACTGGCTTTCTTTCGCCAGGCAGGGAGATAATCCCCAACCCTACTGAATGACATTTCTGCAGTGCTGCAGATTGAGCTCATGGCCCCATGCATGCTAGGTGAACTGTCTACCACACCTGCAGACACTAAAAACACTTACAGACAAACATGCTGTCTGAGGTTGGTGGCGTTGACAGTCACATTTCCACAGATGCCCTAGGTACGGATCTGTGACTATGGGTGACTCCCGTGATGCTGTGCAGAGCAGGCAGTACTCTACATGTTTCATGGTAAATGGAGAAAGGCAAACAAGTATGGGGGACATCTGATATTTCTGCACTCTCCCCACTCTGGCCTTCCTCTTCTGCTTTGAGAAGGTTTGCTGGAATCAGGCTGTTCCGTTAAGGACAGGCACATTACCGCTCAAGTTCTCTCTCTCCTAGCAACTGGGTTTGATACAGAAATATACATTAACAGGGTTGAAGAGATACAGCCATGGCAGTGCCTAGAGGAGCAGAGCTCTTGCCTGGGTTGGGTTTCCAGCACCCATGAGGTGGCTCATAATCGCCTATCATTCCAGTTCTAGAGGGATCTACCACCACGTTCTCGCCTCTTTCACATGCAGATAAAACACATCCATATGCATACACTAAAAATAAAAAAATCTTGAAAAATTTCATTACCATGCCCAACCCAGGCAGAGTTTGCATCTATTGCTTGTAGATAATGCCACAGAGTTAAAATCATACATGAGAAACAGGGGTGGGGGGCTCTAGAATAATATATGCTAAATGAAAGGTTGGCTTTTGGGGGTAGAAACTGGGTGATATGAGATCACGAAGAAAGTGTGATATTGATCAAAAGAGCAGCCAATTTTCATTATGTAAGATGAGTAATTTCTGGAAATCTAAAAGGACAGCATGATGACAATAGCTTGCATGGCAATCTTATATTTGGGAGAGAAATCTCCTCACTCAAGCAGGAATATACCCTTGCACATAATGTATGCATATACACATATATACTTGCACATAATACATGCATACACACGTGTATAATGCATGCTTATACACTTACACATAATGCATGCATATACACAAATACACTTGCATATAATATACGCATATACATGATACACACATAGTGAATGAACACGCATGCACAAAGACATATGCATACATACATGCAAATAATGTATGTACACATTGCATACAACATACACATACAAGCAGAAACTATGTGGGGCTGATGGATATGACAATAAATTCAAATATGATAATTTCACAATGAATACTATGTCAAGGCATCAAGCTATATACCTTAAATGTAGACAACTTCTATCCCATAATTAAAAATAACATTTCATATCACACTTCCTGCTTCTGTTTTTCATGTTCTTGCTGCTTTTGTAAACAGGAAAGCACTGAATGCTTTCATGAAAGTGGTTCTAGGATAAGGCCAAAGCAGGAGACTATGAACCCTTAAGAAAAATACTCTCGAGGGCTACTCTTTGTTCAGCTGGTTGTGTATGTTTGTGTGTGTGTGTGTGTGCGCGTGTGTGTGTGCGAGTGTGTGTGTGTTGTTCTGTGCAGTGTCCTTGGAGGCCAGCAGAGGGCATAGGATTCCATGGAACTGGAGTTACAGGCAGTTGTGAACAACCATATGAGTGCTGGGAACTGAACCCAGGTCTATTGCAAGAACCATGAATGCTCTTAATCACTGAGCCATAACTTCATGAAAATAGTTTTTTAAAATCATGTTGGGAGCCAGGTAGCAGTCGGGAGGCAGAGGCAGGTGGATCTCTGTGAGTTTGAGGTCAGCCTGATCTACAAAGCTAGTTCCAGGACAGCTATGGCTGTTATACAGAGAAATCCTGTCCTGAGGAAAAAAAATCATGTTGGGGAGTAGCTACTTTCTATAACTTTTATTAATGATAACTGACCCCGTGGCCTTGAAATTTTCCTAAATATCTGCTATTGGAATAACAGTAATTGTCAGATAAAAAAGTATCTTACTTCTAACCAGCTATAGGGCTTTTTATTTTTATTATTTTACAAAACCATGTGTGTGTACATGGCATGTGTATATGTGTCTGATGTGTATGCATGTCTGTGTGTATATGTGTATGTATGCGTGGTGTATTGAATGTAGGGGCATGTCATGCCATGCACGTATGTGGCGGTCCGGGGTTCTCCTGTCTGTCTCCCTTGCTATAAAACCACTGCTGAGGAGCATGTGAATTCCAGATGCGTGTGTGCTGTGAGCTCTGCTCCCTGTGGGCACTGGGGATCTGCACTGGGGTCCAGGCTTGCACAGCAAGGGCTTTACCCCCTGAGCTTCTCCCGCATTTCATTTTCAGTTCTGACAGGTCTGGGATATTCACTGCTAAGATAATTGCTTACCAAAACCTTCTCTTAAAGCTTCTGTCTCTAGCTAGACCTTAGTGTCTCAAGTCTCAGATCGGAAAGCAATTTTGACTCTGCCTCCATCTCTCCTCTCATCGACTGCCAAGACCTGTTGGTTCTTATTTCTTTTCTTTATTTAGGTTTCTGAGACAGGGGTTCTCTGTTTAACAGCCCTGGCTGTCCTGGAACTCGCTCTGTAGACCAGGCTGACACCTTGAACTCACGGAGCTCCACCTGCCTCTGCCTCCCGAGTGCTGGGATGAAAGGTGTGCCCACCACTGCTCTGGTGCCTCTTTTCTTTTGAAGTCAGGGTTTCCTGTAGCTCTGCTGGCCTCATATGTCCGAGTACTGGGCTTGCAGATGTGAACCATCATACCCAGTTTGCGTGGTGCTGGAGGTGGGATTTAGGGTTCTGCCATTCTAAGCAGACTCAAATTGAGCAGTTCAAGTCCCATTTACTCTGTCTGAAGTCATGGTTCAGACCCAGCTGCCGGTTGTACCCACCACCATGTTGTCCACACCAATTTCCTACACTTGATTTCTTTGCTTCTAGTCTCTTCCCTCTAAGCAGCGTTTCTCAAATATTTGTGTTGTTATTACCTCCGTAATAAGCCTGTCTCATTTCTCCTTTATTTGCTCGTACCCCTGACACACCAATACTACAGCTCCACTGTGTGTCTCTGTGTAGGGGCTCTGGTCCAGCAGAGCGCCCCACACTGTCACGGTATCAAGACCCCTCTTTTCATCTTTGAACCCACTTCCATTGCTGTGGTGGACCTCATTCTCATCAACCTGTGGATCGCTCCAAACGATGCTCACCTCTGGTCTACTGTTTATGAAACCCCTGCCCTGGTCAGAAGGGCTCACTAGTTCCTTCTTCCCAGATGTCAGAACACACACACAGCCTGCCTGGGAGCCCAGCACTCAGGAGGCAGGAGGATGGACAGTTCAGCTCAGCTGGCCCACAGAAGGAGAGCTTGTCTCAGAACACAGAACAAAAGAGGTTTTCTGAAACACTTTCCCTAGTTGCTCTTATGTTGATGGTATTTGAACAGATTGCTTCCCTCTTCCATGTTAACACTGGGTTTTTATGAACCATCAGTAGTTTTGTTTTTGTTTTTTGAGACAGGATTTCTCTGTGTAACAGTCCTGGCTGTCCTGGAATGTAGACCAGGCTGGCCTTGAACTCACTGAGATCTGCCTACCTCTGCCTTCCAAGTACTGGGATTAAAGGTGTGCGCCACCAATGCCCTGCGACCATCAGTATTTTTACCAATGGCTCAGTGTTGTGTCTTCTCAGATTATTAATACTTTTCTGACAGATTGACATGTCTTCTTCTATATCCTCTGTCTCAGTGAGGCCCATCACGCTTATCTAATGTCCCTAACTGAAAGACTGACAGTTTTTACTATAATAATTATTATTGCCATTATTGTTATGATTGTGTGTATGTGTGTGTGAGCATTTGCATGTGTGTGGAGTCCAGAAGGTGACTTTGCGTGTTTTCCTCAATCTCTATCCACTTTATATTTTCAGGCAGGGTTCCTCACTGAACCTAGAGCTCCCTGATTAGGCTAGGCTGAAGGGACAGCAAGCCCCAAGTATCCTTCTGTCTCCACCTCTCCAGTGCAGGGATTACAGATGCACACTGCAGCACCTGGAGTTTTGCTTTGGTGCTGAGAACCCAGGTTCTGACATTTGTGTGGCAAGCACTTCACTGACTAAGCCTCCTCCCTAACCCCATCCTCATTATTTCTGAGATGTAGCTCAGGCTAGCCTCAAACTTGTGATCCTGCCTCAGTGTCTTGAGTAGAAACCAAGAGACTGCTTCCAGACTCCTCTGTTTGAAATCCCCATGGGACACTGTTAGGAATTAGCAGCAGCCGGCGTGAGGAATGCCACTCTGCTATGACCTCCCTTTCTGTGCTGCCACCTCGGCTCATGGGGAAGATGGCTGCTTCCCTCCCTGCTCTCTTCCTCTTACCCGCATAGTCTGGTAAGACACTGATGCTCTGGGTCTTCAGAGCAAAGCTAGTGCTTGCTGGGTTGCTCCCCTGCCTCACACAACCCCTCTGATGGCTCGCACTGCCTTCAGGGTAGTCTGAAGGCCTCACTTTAAACCAGGCATGTAGCCTGCTCCAGCCAGCTCCCCTTGTTCCCAGGCCGCCTTCCGCACACCTGGACCACCTCTGGCTGCCCTTGAGGTCTCCTCCAAGCCCCCTTCTCAGCCTGCCACTGCCACTCAGGCTGGAGATTGACTTTGGCAGTCAGGTGTTGCTTGGTAGCCCTGGTGTCTGCCACAGAGCCTGGCATGAAGGAGGCCTTCTGTAGGCATTCGATGACAGCGTGAATGTGATGATGCCGAGCCTCACAGGCCAGGTAAGTATTTCTTGCAGAAGCAGGCCAGAAGTGGAAACTTTCCTCTCTCTCACGCCTGCTCCGTGCGGCAGAATGCTCGCGCACCTTTATTCTAGCCCAGCTTTGCACCTGTTTAAGGCCAATCAGAAATGCAGAAATGCGGAAATGGCTCTCCCCTACTGCAGGTACCTTCATTCCCTGACACGCTTGTTTGTGCTAATGGCTAAAAACACTGGAATGGAGGAGACGGACCCCCGCTGCCCCTCAGACGCCTCGGTGGGACAGATACCTCCCGAATGTTCTGCTGTTCCACCTCATGGCGCTTGATCATTATCTTCCGCTTGAAGAAGCGGCAGTTTCTGTCGTAGTACAGTCTCTGCTGGGTGAGCAGGTGGGCTTCCTCCTCAGCCTGCGTATGCTGCAGGTTTTCTTTATGCTTCGATATCCGTTCCTGCTTCTCCTTCTTGGGGGTGCTATGGTCCTCGTTCATTTCCTGAAAACAACAACATAAACATATCCAGGTCCATCAAACTGGACGGCACTGGTTAACTCTTGTAGACGGTGAGTGTGGACCTCAGCACAGAAAGGCTCTGTGGTACACACCCCCATTTGTCTTCTCCCCAATTACTTGAGTGTTAAGTGAGAGGAGTACTTGAATTTGCCTCGGTGTGGTGTCTCACTTTCGGAGATCATTTATTCAGTCATCAACCAACAGCTCTAAGCCCTGACCACAGGATTAGTAGGGGGCAGGTGAGCAAGAGGTCATGGTGGCTCGACACTCAAGGGCTGGACACCCCGACAACACCAGATTTAAGAGCTGTGGAGAGGAACTGAAGTGACCGACCGTCAGACACTGCCTTCAAGGGAGGGGCAGGGTCCTCAGAGTGTTTGGTGGGAAGCGTTTGACCTCAGTAACAACTACGCTGACATTGGAAAGAATTGGTGGGAGTTAAGCAGGAGAAGAAAGGAGAATATTTCTGATGGAGGAACAGCCTGTGAAAAACTCTAGCATGGGTTGGAAATAATTCGGTCAAGAGGTAAGAGGGGGCAATGGTCCATGGGGTCTCACAGGCCATGAGGCTGGCCAGGCCAATGGACACGTAGACCAAGTTCAGATCAGGGTTTTATTTAGTCCTAGGTTGAGCCCAGGGACTCAGACATGCTAGATCCCAAGTCCGCCAATGACCCACAGCCTAGGAAAAATAGCTGTTCTGTGTGTGGCGTGCCATAGTGAGAAAGTGGATGCTGGCTGCCATCTGGGGAGCAGGGCAGAGGCAGGACCGGGACCATGTCTGTGTAGGCAGCTAGGAATCTCCTGTAAAGTCGAATTGGGGGAACAAGGAGGAGGCAGAAGACTACAAGAGCAGTCATTGGTTTTGAGTTAGGAAGGGACACTGCCGATGTCGCTAATTCGAGTTCCAGGAGAGAGAGAACTGTGCTCCATTTGGGATCAGAGGGTGAGGAAGCCACACATAGGGAATCTCAGCTGAAGAGCCGGGATGCCAGTGTGTGCATAGGAAGTCTCAGCTGAAGAGCCGGGATGCTAGTGTGTGTGTCTGTGGGGGGCAAGAGGATACTTCTGGGAAGAGCACAGCGTATTCACCCACCTTCATTCACCCCAAGGAGCCCGACCTATGTTTGGTGAACCCTCATACTTCTGAAACCATTTGTTTTTCTTAGTGTTTGTCATGAGCCACCAGTATTTAGATTAGTTTGCCCTTAGCCAGTAAGTCCTTGTAATCAGGGAACCGGTGAGAGAGAGCTAGATGGTGCGTCTGTCTCTCTATGCCATGATCTCACCTCTAGGTCCAGCATGGGCCCCAAGTTTGCACGCCTAAAATGTGACCATAAAAAGTCACTCCAGTGTCAAGACTGGATTACTAACTAATGTCCTTCCCATCTCCCTGTGATTGGTCCGCAGGTGAAATCCCGAGGTATCTAAACACACATGACGAGCATGCTCTACTCATAAGTGGCTGAGGCCACCTCAGATTGACTTGGGGCCTGCTTTTCTCCAGCAAAAGGCCGAAACCTTCTATGTTATCTAAGTATGGTGACCCAAAGCTAACCTGAAGACTGGGTTGGGCGTGGGTCAGAAGTGTGTGTTTTGTGGAGAATCTTTTAAAGGTCTGTCAGTTGATCCCCGACATCCTGGTGTTACAAAGGCCCAAGATGGTAGTCACGCTCCTAAATGACAACCTCTGGAGCAGGGATGAACATGTGGAGTTTATAAAGACAGGGCGTTTGGAGTTGAGGGAAATAGCAAAGTTTCCTACTGAAAACAAAGCAACCTGCAAGACCTAGCGCTATCCTGTTGATCACAGAAGAAAAATATAAATGAAAGGAGCCTCTTCTTGACTGGGCTATTTCTATCAACCCTTTAGTTTCTAGAACTCAGAGAGCCAGAGACCCCTGGCCTTCAGCCAGAGTGGATCAGCTGCAGCAGAGCCTTACTTGGGCAAGGCCTGAGATCCCCCGGATACCCTGCCCTCCCAGATCCCTCACTAGACCCTGCGCCCTTCACCCGGGCATGACTTCACTGGGACAGTGGCCCGGACTGCACTCTATTAAACCTTACTACGGCCAGGAAGCCCGCAGAGAAGGAGTCCTCCACCGTAAGAGAGAGGAAGAGCACAGAAGCATGGGAAACCCTCCGGCCAACACTGGGAAAGGAGAATAAGGCAGACTAAGCTCTCAGATGAAAGTGGAGCTCCTCTGGGGATTCTCTCATGTCCATCTATGCTCTTCAACCAAACGTTCTAGGATCATCTACTCACGTAGCAGATAGTCTTGGGCAACAACAGACATGCTCTCTGCTTTTGTGGTGTTAACAGCTAAGTAAGGACCTTGAAAAATTACTAAAAATTCTAGTTTCGTGGGACGGGAGAAGTGTATCTTGGCCAAGGCAGTTAGGAAAAGCTTGCCCGGGAAAATAATATTGGAGTTAGGATTTCAATAATTAATCCTAACTCTTACAAGGAGAAGGAATGAACTGTGTAGAACTGCAGATGGGGTAAAGAGACGTCTCAGCAGGGAGAGCACTCTCCATCTGAGGAACTGACGGGCAGCAATGGAGATGCAGTAGCCTTGAGTAGGCTGGGGTGTGGAAGGCACAGAGGCATCGGGGAGGTTGGTGGTCAACCATGTGGGGTCTTTAGAACTTCAACATTCTCTGAGAACCATGGGAAGATGGTGGACTTTCTCAAAGGATGAGATGGGTTTCAAATGGTTTAAAACTCTTCCTTTGGCCAATGTGTAGAGAACAGGTTGGAATGCAGCCCCAGGCTCAGCGACATTGATGCCCCGTGGGATTCGTAGGAAAGGTGAATTTTCAAACTCCACTTCAGGCCTGGTGGAGACAGGAGGATGGAGGGGTGTGCCACCCTTGGCTTTAATCATTCTTCCAACAACTCTAACCAGAAGTCAGAACTGCTGGATTCAGTCAAATGCTGATCTTAGTGCAAGACAGGCCACCCCAAGCTCTCAGTTCACAGTGCAGCGGGTGACCGCGGGCACGGACACCTTACCTCCTTAATTTTTTCCTTACAAATCTTGTACTGCTTCTTTTGACTCTCTAAGAAAGTTGTCAAGTCCTTCTTCTGCTGGGCCAGGATCTGCTGCTGGAACTTCTTCTCATCCGCTGCGGCTACCTTCGCCTAAGAAGATAACAGAGGTGGGCAAGGTCAGTCTGAGCTTCAGAGACTCAGCTGTCCACGAGTACCAAGTAATGGCTCCCCTGGGCAGAGACTGAAAGACTATCTAAAGTTATGCCTTCCAAGCCGGGTGGTGGTGCATGCTTTTAATCCCATCACTCGGGAGGCAGAGGCAGGCAGGTAGATCTCTGAGTTCAAGACCAGCCTGGTCTACACAGCAAGTTCCAAGACAGCCAGGGATGTTACACAGTGAAACGCTTTCTACAAACAACAAACAAACAAACAAAAAGATATGCCTCTGTAGCTTTTCTGCATCTTAAAAATACATTCCCAATGATAGGGAAAATATGCAGGTGGACCAGAAATGTACCTCTGTGTGTATGTGTGTGTATGTATGTGTGTGGATGTACGTAGACACTAGCGGCCAATCTCAGGTGTTGTTCCTCGAGGGCCACACACCTTACTATCTGTCCGTCCATCCATCCACCCATCCATCCATCCATCCATCCATCCATCCACACATCCATCCATCCATCCATCCACCCACCCACCACCCATCCATGTATTTCCTTCTATTTTTATTTATGCATTGTGTGAATGTGGTGTGTGCACACACTCAGGGATGCCCCACTCTCCGTCTTACTGGTTTGAGACATGCTCTCTTGCTGAATCTGAAACTAGGCTAGTGCCCAGCGAACTCCAGTCTTCTTGTCTCCATCCCTAACACAGTGGAGTTACAGGCGTGCACACAACCATGCCCATGGAGGGCACTGGGATGCGAATTCAGGTCTCCATGCTTGCATGGTAGGTGCTCTTATTCATTGAGCTATCCCTCTCCCCACCCAACTCCTCACCTCACCCATCACTTTTTGTTTGTTTGTTTGTTTGTTTTTGAGACAGGGTAGCTTTGGAGCCTGTCCTGGAAGTAGCTCTTGTAGACCAGCAGGCCTCTAACTCACAGAGATCTGCCTGCCTCTGCCTCCTGAGTGCTGGGATTAAAGGTGTGCTCCACCACCGCTCAGCCCCACCCATCACTTTGGTTTCTGAGACAAGGTTTCTCATTGGCCTGAGGTTTGGCGTCGATTAGGCTAAACTGACTGGCCAGTAGGTCCCAAGTATCTGCCTCTTTCCACCCTTCCTCTACCTTTTCGGTAGGATTACAGGCATGTGTGACTATCACTCCCTCCTAATATGAAACATATATATAATAGTAATAAAAACATTTTCTTGCTTCTTTGTCTATCACTTTATCCTTTTTCTTCTTTTTTATGTGACAGGGTACAATGATATAAGTTAGGAAGGGCTTGAACTTGGACTCCTCCTGCCCTGGCACCCAAATCTTTGGGCATTCATACACATCTAGAGAGAATGTTTTTCAAATTAGTTTAGAGAGCCCGAGAGTGAATCTCAGGTGAGCACACATCGCCAGCACAACCAAAAAATTCACTAAAATAATTGCATTGGTTAAGGACCTGGATGAAGAAGAGAGATCTTTCCTCAGGAAACCCAAATCACAGCCAGATTACTTCCCTGTGGCCGGTGGCTGGTACAGTAGCAGCTACAAGCAGGGCTGTTCCCCACTAGTGGGGCTGCTTGAGGAGCACTAGGGCATCACAGGCACAGACAGACCTGAGCTATGTATGGTCCTCAAAGACAGTGGTGGCACTTTTGCTTCCCTTGACTGGTTCCCTGGCCACTGTGGAGGGAGCCCTGCTCCCAACACATAAGAGTGAAATCACCTGCCAATTTCACCTTCCATGGTAATTTCTGGTAGGACCCCAACCTAGCAACAGTGCCCCCCTGCTATTCCCTCCCCCTGCTGACTCTGCCATTGGTTGGGACTGACTAGGGTTGGCAGCACCTGAGGGTGCTTCCCCCTCCCCTGTCCTCTCCACCCTGCCTCCTACACCCTGCAGCACCTGAGGGTGCTCCCCCCCACTCCTGCCCTCCCCACCCCGCCCCCTACACCCTGCAGCACCTGAGGGTGCCTGCACCCCATACCCTGCACACTGACCTCCTTTTCAATGGTAGCCACTTGCTTCTTGGCCAGCTTCTCCAGCTCGATGGACGAGTTGTTGGCATGCGTCTCCACCTCCTTCTGGAGTTTGAGGCGGTGCTCATCCATCTCAGCCTTCAGCTTGTTCTCCAGGGCGATCAGCTGCTTCTGGTGCTGGCGCCGCATCCGCTTATAACCTGACATCTGTTCCCGCAACTCGTTCTCCTGCTCATGCTCGTGGATCTGCCGTGTAACCTGGCAGGCGAACAGGGACAGAGCTTGGGTCACCCAGCGGACCAAAGGTGGACTTTCAAGTACAGAGTGCCCTGTGACACTGGCATCTTCATCAGCCTGTGGCTTCCAAGCCTCTGATGCTGACCTGGAGTTGGGGCTCTGCTGGACACTGTCATCCTCAAAACATCTTGTTTGCACACTCTTTTACACACTCACAAGGAAGGTGTTATGGTTTTCATTTAATAAAGAAATTGAGACTTGACGGAGGTCATTCATATATTTTTAACAGTCATTCATATAAACAGACACACACACACACACACACACACACACACACACACACACGTCTTCAGACTTTGTGAATTCCCCCAGGATGGTGGGACCCTTCCAGGTGAGAGGTTGAGAGGCTGTGCTTTTTCAAAGGATCATCCTAATAGGGAGACAGACAGACACAGACGAAGTTTTTAAACCCTGTGTCTCCCTTCGCCCCATCCCTAAAAGAGTTGCCCACAAGGCACAATTTCCTCCTGAAAAGGAGAAAGTGTTTCTGTGAGCTTCGCAGGATTACATTTCCGTATTTCATTCCAATCCAATGTCCAGCAGGCCTAAGGCTGCCAGAGGAGCCTGCAGCAGCCTGGGCATCTCTTGTCTCCTCCTTTGACCTTTCTGGGATTTTCCAGCCTTCACCTCCCTCCCCCCATGGAGCCGCCAAGCGCTCCCTTCTCCTCTTCCCTGTTTTAGAAAAGCCCTTGGATTTCAGCATCTTAGCTTTGCTTTTCACCTGGCTACTCCCCTGGGGAATGAGCCCACTCCCCACTTCACCCCCAAAACAAGTTTCCCTGGGAAATCCCACACAGCTATTAATATCCTGCAGTCTGTAGCTCAAACTGTGTTTCCTGGATGGTGTGGGGCGCCTCTGCTCTTGTCAGAAGGGTGTCCCTGCACTCTCCACTGGGTCCCCACCACAGAGCAGCAGTTCTCAACCTGTGGATGGCGACCCCACAGGGGTCACATATCAGCTCTCCTGCAATCAGATATTTATGCTATGATTCATAACAGTAGCAAAGTTACAGTTATGAAGAAGCAAAGAAGGTAATGTTGTGGTTGGGGTCACCACGACATGTGGAACTGTATTAAAGGGCTGCAGTGTTATAATGGAAGGCTGGGGACCACTGTTGTAGAGGGAGGACTGTGCTGAGACCGGACTAGAAACCTTCCGAGCTGAGGGAACACGTGGTTTCATGCACGCCTCACTTGGAAGGACATTCCTCTCCAGGACTGAGAGCAGGACAGCACCACCCCAAAGCCCTCTGGGACTCCAAAAGACACGAGTGACGTGTTTTGTCACTACAGCACTAAGTGAGCATTTATTTATTTGTTGTTTCTTTATTATTTAATTATTTATATTTTGGGTACTGGAAAAGAAACTTAGGGGTTTTCAATGCTAGCCTGCCCTTTATGCATCCTCCTGTGTCAGCCTCCCACGTGGTGGGACAACAGGTATGTGCCACAATGCCTGGTTCCACATGGACTGTGTGTTTGCTCCCCTCCCCCACCCCAGTTCTGGGACTGAGACACTAGCCTGTTCTCTACCATTGAACTAAATCCACAGATTTTATATATATATATATATATATATATATATATATATATGAGACAGGGTATCCCTGTATATTCCAGGGACCCTGACCTTCATGGCGAGCCTTCTGCCTCCGTTTCCCAAGCACTAGGATTACAAGCCTGTCTATACCTAGTCCCATTATTATTTCCTTTAATGTATTTATATCTGGGTAGAGGGAAACACAGAAGTAGTCTGAGATATGTGTATAAGTTTTGATCCCATATGCTCATATCATATACGAGGACAACTTTAGGGAAAAACAAAACAAGAACAGCCTCTTTTGAAATCAAAATTTTCTTCCACACACAAATATGACAGTATGGTGGCCATTTCCAGGTAGGCACATTTTACCCAGATATTCACTTGTTTCTGGTATTCCCTCGTGTGTGTGGAGGCACGCTCACCCATGAGTGTGGGTGTGGAGGCCAGAGGCTGACGGGGGGGGGGGGGGAGGGCTTCCTCTATCATTTTCCACCGTATTTTTTGAGAGAGGGTCCCTCACTCAGCCTGGAGCTCACTATTTTGGCTAGGTTGGCTCAGCAGGGAGGCCTGGGAATCCTTTGGTCTCTACCTCCCCAGTGTGCTGAGATCACAGGCACACACCTCAGTGCCTGGCTTTCAGATGGGTGCCAGGATCTGAGCTTAGCAGCAGGCACTCTACCCACTGAGTCATCCTCAGTCCTCTGGAATTCCCTCTCTAATGAGATTCCCAGAGGGGTGGCAGGGCCTCCTCTAACACCCTCATGGTGCATCTAAACCCTGCACATGAACTGCCCACAGCTGAGAAAGTCCTGGGCCTCATGACGGACTGGGAAGGAGGCGAGGGACATTTCCCGTCTTACCAGGGCCTGGGTCCCTGCAAATAGGGTGGCCCCACTGCCTGTCTTCTCACACCTGGCTCAAATGTGTGACAAAGACAACTGAGAGCCCAGCATGCCCTCCTTGTACCTGGCTGTCTTCCAGGAGGGCAGCTTTTGCTTTCCAGCGCTCCCCATGGCTAGGATAATCGCCTTCCGCAGACTCCAAACACAACCTTCCATTTGTCACCAGCAAACTTCCTGCCTTTCGGATGGTCTTTCTGGGCCCACATGAAGATGGTGTTTGCAGTGAGGTCTCTCTCTAGAGCTCAGGGTGACCTCTAACTCCCTAGTAGGAGGTTAGCAGGTGTAAGCCACCAACAGATACTAAGTTTCATCCTTCCATGCTCAAGGTAGACAGACAAGCTTAAATCAAAGCATGAGCAGTGGTCATTTGTGAAATTTAATATGGAATACATTAAACACTTGTTAATTATATTATCCGTTCTCACTTCACTGTTTACACTAGGTGTCTCGACAAATATGCTGTTTGGTCAACAGAATTTAAAAAGCTGGTAATTTGAGACTGGAGAGATGACTCAGCGGTTGAGGACACTGGCTGCTCTTGCAGAGGACCTGAGTTCAATTCCCATCACCCACACGGCAGCTCACACCTGTCTGTAACTCCAGCTCCAGGGCATCTGACACTTTCATACAGGCATACATGCAGGCCAAACACCAATGAACATGAAAGAAAAATAACTTACATATTAAAAAGCTGATAATTTTGTATACTTTATAATTTATCTTTCAGATTTGTGTGTGTGTGTGTGTGTGTGTGTGTGGTGTGATGGGTGTACCTGTTAGTACGGTGTGAACACAGGCTTGTGAGTACACCTGCCTGCTCAAGTGTGTGGAGGCTGGGGGGGAGGTGGACACTGGATATCTCTCCTAAATCTCAGACAGGGTCTCTCAGTGAGCCTGAAGCTCATCAACTCTGCTAGACTGGCTGGCCAAAGAACGTCATGGCCCTCCCTGTTGTTACCCTCCTGGGCTGAGGTTACAGGCACATGCCATTGGACCTGGCCTTTTACATGGGTTCTGGTGATGGAGCCAACTCTTCAGCCTCCAGATAGGGCCTCACTGTGTAGCCTCATCAGGCCTCAGACTTGTTACATTCTCTCCTCAGCCTCTCAGTTCTGAGGCTACAGGCTACACCCTGATATTCATTCTCTCTCTCTAGTTTTTCTTTTGAGATGGGGTCTCACCACATAGCTCTGATTGGCCTGGAATTCACTATGTAGACTGGAATTAAAGGCTTGCACCAACACACACGGCTACCTTTTTAATTCTTATACATTGTGGGGATCAGACTCAAGGGCTCATGGTTCTTGAACTGCCTGAAGGGCCCCATCATCAAGGCAGAGAAATAGTGGTCATTTTCTGTTAGAAAGATACCAAAGGAGTCAACACAGCTCCCCAAATTCAAAGCTGGGGAGAATGGTAAGTCTGAGTCACACACTGAGCAAGTGTGAATGTGCAGAGAAGCTGTGGAGATGTGGCGACTATAGCTTCACAAGGGACCAAGTACAAGTCGGAAGTTCCATGGTGCCACGCCTTGGGCTGCCCGGGGAAAGCACCCACTCTGTTCCAACTACACCTCTGACCTTGGACAAAGACTTGACCTCTTCAAGTCTTTGGATGCTTCCTTAGGGAAAGAGGGGTGAGTCCAGTTGTCTTCAGTGTGGCCGACTAGGTAAGGTGGCATGTGTCAAAGGACTCGGGGTCTCCGACTCAAGGGAACATGAATGACCCTGTTGCTCTCCTTCCTTCTCCTGCCAGCCCTAGGGGAATCTCTCTCCTTGCCTCTGCTTCTGGTGGGACAGGTCTAGCTTTTAACAAGTGGAGAGGAGAGAAAGGGCTTCATTTCATTTTCATTCTCAGATAGGGCCTCACTCTGTAGACCATGCTGGCCTAGAACTCACAGAGTTCTGTCCCCTGAGTGCTGGGATTAAAGATGTGCATATACCACCAAGCCTGGTGAGAAAGGACGTTTAACAATGCAATTGCCCATAGCGAGCTTGTGAGCTTTAAGGGGGAAATATGAGAGAACACATGTGTGCTTAGCATGAATGAGCCCTGGCTTCTAAGTCAGTACCCCGCCATGATTAAGTCTGTCTATCTCCCACTCTCCTCCAGCACGTGCTCTCCCACTGAGCTACACTCCCAGACCACACATAATTTCTGAGTCACAATCACTGCTCATCTCACAGACCTGGCGTATATACAACATAATAAATAAACAGCAGCTACGGACGACACACAGGAGGCCTGCAACACCTTCTAAAGGGAGTTCAGTTGCTCAACGTGACCCTGTTTAACACTAGACCTGGCTCTGAAGCAAACCACTTAATCTTCAGGCCAGAACACACCTACCGTGGACAAGCATGAAGGCACAGTAACCTACTGAACATGCCTACCGTGGACAAGCATGACGGCATGGTAACCTACTGAACATGCCTACCGTGGACAAGCATGACGGCATGGTAACCTACTGAACATGCCTACCGTGGACAAGCATGACGGCATGGTAACCTACTGAA